AGAAAGTCTTGAAAGATCCTATCAAGTTTTATTCAAGATCTTTTTCAAGATTTCTTCAAGTTCTTGCTCAGATTTTTTTCTAAACCAAGAATGTAACATCCCAGGTCAAACAATCGGATGGCAAGATCTTACAAGGATCGTATGTCTAATCATATCTGGTCTGATAAGATTCGATGAAAAAACGTATGCAAAATCATCGTCTCTGATTTCTTATACAAAATCGTATTAGAAAATTCTTGAAAGATTCTGCTACGCATGATATGCCACTGTAATATTTCAATAAAACTAATATCTTCTTAAAATATCACTACAAGTTATTAGGGTAAATAAAGTGAATGTAAGATCTTTTCAAGAAAATGTAGTATGATCTGATGCAAGATTTCAGAGACGACGATTTTTGTCAGATTCTTGTAAGATTTCGTCCGTATTGCAAGACCTTGTGTGTACATGATAAGATCTTATGTCAGATTTTTCGACCTTGGATGCTCTCAAGATTTATTCTCGAACCTACTCAGATTCCTCACAAGGATAGCGGACAAAATTCTGCCAAGATTTTATCAAGTTTTAGTGAAGAAGTATTCTAGATCCTGATATAAGAATTCAATCAAGAATTGAAATTATATCAGAAGAGGACCTTAAGGATAGCAGAACAAGATTAGTCAGAATACTAAACAAATAAATTTTGATAAATTTCGATCAGCATCCTATTCTGAATTTTTCGAAAAACAAGCGTTTTCAAATTCTTACAGAACAATATCAATCATGATCAGGGATCTAGCTTAGATCTTTCAATGTTTGTGTTTAGAATCTTTTCAGAATTTGATTTTTAGGATCTTATCAAGATTTATAACCGATTTTGTTCAGAATCTGTTGAATACTTGTAAATCTTTAGATAACAATACGAATTTTAATACCAATCTTGAGTAAAATCTTAACAATGATAAATGGAAGAGTTTTCGAGGCTTTCATTATGCTTTGCTTCGAGTCTGACAGAATTCAGAAGGCTACCAGAATTTTATCCTGATCATGATTGGAGCTTGTAGTCGTCACACAAAAATATCTACAGTACATTAAGAAATAATCAGTTAGTAGATCAACGACTTCAAAGTTTCTTCTTGAAAATACTTTCAAAAAGATCATTATGTAATGAAAGAAAAACATTAAATGTCTTTATCCATTTTTTACTTTTCACACTATGTTTCACATAGTTTGTATCTACATGTATTTTAAACTAGTCTATAATGTCAATGAGACCTTAATGTGAGGAACAAACATATCCAACTGTCGAACGCCGTTCGATTTCATATTGTGACTACAAGTAGGACTTGATGAGACTAAGTCAAGCTTAAAAGGATTTGGACTCATATCTTACTGATAAAGAGTTATGACTGTTCTAATGGAATTGTTCCTGAGAGCAAGGCATTTCCGAAAAATCCAAAACGAAGGGTTTCGACCAGAAAATTTTGCCTATAGCCATGTTTCATAATCGTTAGATAGTTCTAAAAATTTCAACGACAATGAACATACCTTTCTTGAAATATTCGATTTCAAAATAGACCCAATTATTGTGTTCTCCTATCGTAAATTGCGGCTTTTTAGGAAATTGAATATTTCGAGACAGACATATTCATTTTTGCTGAAATTTTCAGGTCCAAACTCTTTGTTTTGGGTATTTCGGAAAAGCTCTGCTCTCAGGAACGATTTTATTAAAATAAATACAACTCTTTATCAATAAGATATGGATTCAAATCCTTTAAGCTTGACTTCGTCTCATCGAGTCCTACTCATAGTCATAATATGAAATCAAACAACAGCCGATAGTTGGGTATGTTTCTTTGTTAATGAAATTGACTGACGTTGCTAAGTTTTCATAAGACATACTCAAAATGAGAAACATTGATTCTCATAATATATTTACACCATAAATTGTGTCTTGCAAATCTTCAGGTGAGCATTGCATATTGATATACGATCGTTTTTTTCACTACTCAATATTATTAATAAATATCAGATTTAACTGATGAAAGTAAAACAAAATTGATTGAAAAACCATAAATAAATCAACGAATCTGAAGATCATTCTTAAAAGAACTTCAATTGTATTTTTTGAGAAAGATTAGTTATTGAACAATAGAATAGAAATATGAATATTATTATTTTTCTTCTTTTATTCCGAAAAAGAAAAACAAAAGTAACCCGTACTAATGGATTTCTAATGGGAGAAAAAAAATCAGCTTGTTTTGACCATATTGATCTCATTCATTTTAAAGCTTCACTTTCCTGTGCAATAACTGAATTTGTTTTTTTTTCTTCAGGTAAACTATTTTGTTTATCATTACCATTTGATTTATTATGTTTAACAATAAATTCAAGTAAATCAATACTTGTTATTATACCAAATATATGTGTTTTATTTTGTCTTGTTGATTGATCCTGATCTACTAATAAAACAAAAATATTTCTGTAATTAAAAACGAAAAAAAAATATTCTTACAATGATCATGAGCAAATTTAATAATCACATAATTATGAGCTTCTAAAATACGACTTAATTTTGCCAAACTATCATTAAGTTGAACCTAGGATAATTTATAAAAATTTAGAAAATATTAAAAAAAACAACCAAAGATATTTACCGTTCGAAACTTATCTGTTACAGCTTTTGATACTTGATCTTGTGCATTTATTGTACCACGTGACATTTTTGCCATTATTTCACACATTGTCGTCATACCAACAAATGTTCTATTAATAGATAGAATATTTCATAGATAATACAAGAAACAAAAAAATCAAATTTAATTCATTACCCATCATCAGAAATAACGGGTACTTGATCAAAACTTCTAGCACGCATTATATCAAGTACTGCTTGAATTGATGTATTTGATGATACTGTAACAGGTTCACGAATTGATAAACTTGATACAGGCATTGAATGCCACCATTCACTATGAGGTTCATCTTTAATATCAAGAAAAGTACGTTCATACATCCAATCATCACTTAAAAATTTTGTCCTAAATTAATTAATAATATACATATCATTTACAAAAAAAAATCAATATGAATTAAAATTCTTACATATAATTTCGAACAGAATCTGGTAAAATAACAACACAAGTTTGATCTTTAGTTAGATTAAAATCTTTACATGCTTCTATAGCACATGACATAGCTGAACCTGATGAAGCACCACAAAGCATTCCTTCATCTTTAATTAATTTTCTTGCATATTTAAGTGAAAGCATATCAGTACTTTTATACCATCGATTAATTAATGATCGATCAAGTACAGTTGGAATAAAATCATATCTAATTGAAAATTATGTAAATTCCATTTATTTTTGTTTTCGTGTGTTAATTTTCGAAGGTTACTTACCCAATTCCTTCGACCTAAAAGAAAAATAATAATTAATATTTTAATAAATAAAATTAAAAAATAAAATAATTACTTCATAAAATGTAATTCCAGTTTTATTCAATGTTTCAGGTGCTGCTAATATTGAACCTTCTGGATCGACACCGACAATAATACAATTTGGACATCTTTCTCTAAATTTTCTTGAGATACCAGTTAATGTTCCTCCTATTCAAGGAATCCGAAATTTGATATTTTTTTTTTCTAAAGAATTTTACCTGTTCCAGCACCAATAACAACCATATCAACTTTTCCTACAAGAAAAAAAATTAGTGAATGCCATTGTACAGTTAGTTGAAGTATCATTATTACCATTGCATGCTTCAAGAATTTCTTCAGCTGTTGAATCATAATGAGCAATTGGATTGTATGGATTTCGATATTGATCAAGAATATGTGAGTTAGGAATTTTCATTTTTAAACGATGTGCTACACCAATATGTGATTCAGGTGAATCAAATGAAGCACTTGTTGGTGTACGAATAATTTCAGCTCCTAATGCATGAAGTACATCAACCTAAACATTCACAATATAAAAAAACATATATATATAAATTGCTTATTCAAAAATCAACTACTTACCTTTTCTTTACTCATTTTTTCAGGCATAACAATAATACATCGATAATTTTTAACAGCACACGCTAATGCTAAACCAATGCCTGTATTACCAGATGTTGGTTCAATAATAGTATCACCTGGTTTTAATATTCCAGCACGTTCAGCTTCTTCAACCATACGTAAACCAATTCGATCTTTTACACTACCGCCAGCATTAAAATATTCACATTTAGCCACTAAATAAATATATATATTAAGATCAATTCAACATACAACTTTATCAACTTACAAAGATTACATTTGACGCCAGCTTCACATGCCAAACGATTAACACGTACAAGTGGTGTATCACCAATTAATTCAAGAACATTGTTATAGATCTTTTGGCGAGTTGACTTTTGTCTAGAGCAAAAGAAATTAATTAACACAAAAAAAAAATTGTTTGCTAACGAAAACTAACCTACTACCAAGATTATGTGGTCCTTTACTTCTATCACCATTAACAGTATACGTACAGCGACTTGGTGCATCTGGTCGATTAGCCAAAAAGCTTTCCATTTTTCTCACTCTTTCTCTTAATAAAATATCAAAAATGTAATGATAAGCGGACACACCGCTTTATTATACTACTGCGAATTTATGCTTGTCTTATGACTCGGTCGGATTCTATTATGAGATAATTTTTTTTTCTGAATACATATGTGCCCATATAGATATGTAGACGAGCCGGGGAGAAAGAAAAAAAATAAAGCCTATCATAACATATAATCGGGTCAGTTATCTTTTTCTCTCTCGTCATTCTGATCATTTCATAACGATAGATTTTTTTTTGGTAATCAAATATATTTCTTGGCATTGACTAACAAACACTTTGATCTTCTATTTAATTTTAATTTCAAAAA